TCCATCACCTGCTTTGTCTTTATCTGTTCCTAGTCTACATGCTAGTATTTTATCTAATACTTATCGTTACGATTTTTCATCACAAACTGTTCAGTTGTGGCATGACCGTTTTGTGCATATAAATTTTAAATATTTATGTATGTTATTTCCTACTTTGAGCAAAGCTTGTGTTAGTGGTAAATTTGACTGTGTTATATGTTCCCTATCAAAACATGTTTGGACCAGTTATATTCCTCGCATACACCGGTCACCCGAACCATTTGACCTAATGCACTCAGATATTTGGGGACCCTCTCCTGTTACTGCTCTGTCAGGTGCCCGATATTATGTGACATTTATAGATGACCTTACCTGTTGTACTTGGGTCTACATTTTGCATATGAAGTCTGATGTACTCCCTGTCATTACTCAATTTCTTCAGATAATTAAGACACAGTTCGATGTCATTGTTCGTGCATTTCGTTCGGATAATGCCAAAGAATATGTGTCTGATGCCTTAGTGTCTCACCTTTCTTCTCAGGGTATCCTTCAGCAGCTCACTTGTCCTTATACTTCTGAGCAAAATGGAGTTACTGAAAGGAAAAATAGGAGTTTGATAGGGATAGTACGTTGTATGCTTAGAGGTATGAGGGTACCAAAATCTTATTGACATTTTGTTGTTTTGACTTCTACCTTTTTGTGCAATCGTACACCGAGTTGTGTTTTTCAGCATAGGGCTCCCTTACAAGTCTTATTCCCTGAACGGACATTTTTTCTGGTCCCCCTCATGTTTTTGGCTGCACATGTTTTGTTTAGGATCGGTCTCCTATTCGTCATAAGTTTGATGATAAAATGATTCGTTGTATCTTTGTGGGCTATTGTCATCAGTCTAAGGGGTATCGGTGTTATGATCCTGTCAAGCGACGTATGTATCACAGTCTAGATGTTATCTTACTTGAACATATTCCTTATTTTTCTTTCAGTCCTGTGTCTGCCCCTCTAGTTGATGATACTCTCTTTGATTTTTTATTACCACCGGAGTCATAGCTATTGGTTACTATCACTACAGAGTCATCTGTCTCTCCTCCTCCAAAGCCACTCATCCTTGTCAGTACAGTGTCACCAGTCTCTCTTCTTTTGCAGGTTTATGTTTGTCGTCCTCGCTCTCATCCCCTTGCTGATGTCCTCTCTACCTCAGGCGATGCAGGTAATACTTCTCAGTTCATTGAGCATATTGATGCACCTATTGTTAGTACTGATGAGATTATAGGTATTGAGCCAGTTGTTTTACCTAATGAGACATTATCAGTGGAGGATGATGATTTAGGGCGTCGTTATCCGCGGCGTGATCGTCGTCCAGTTGTTCGTTATGATTGGACCGCCAGAATTTGATATCCGATCTTTGCTTATATTTTTTATGGTGATCTGTCTCCTACTTTTCGAGCTTATACTATAGTCTTATCAGATATGCCGGTTCCTCACTCTATTTCAGAGGCTATGCGAAAGCCCCAGTGGATTCGTGTCATGTAGACAGAGATGGACACTCTTCAGCGTAATCATACGCGGGATCTTGTCTCTTTACCTTCAGGGGTGAAGCCTATTGGTTGTCACTGGGTTTATACCCTGAAATTTCTTGCAGATGGTACTATTGATCGTTACAAGGCTAGGCTTGTGGCGAAGGGCTTTACTTAGGTACCAGACCGTGATTTTGGTGCTATCTTTGCTCTCGTGGCAAAATTGACTACTGTTTGACTGATTATTTCTCTGGCTGCGGAATACTCTTGGTCACTTCATCAGTTGGATGTGAAGAATGCATTTCTTCACCGTGATCTGGACGAGATTATTTATATGGATGCACCACCGGGCTTTCGTGGTGAGGGGGAGTATGGTGGAAAGGTTTTTCGACTACATAAGTCTCTTTATGGACTGAAACAATCAATACTTCTTAAAGGTGATGCCTAAGAGGGAGTGGTCAGGTTCGAAAAGCGGGGAAAGCTGTTGCCGAGGTATATCGGGCCCTTCAAAATACTTCAGAGGGTTGGTACAGTTGCCTATCAGTTGGCATTACCGCCTAATCTATCTGGTGTCCACGCGGTGTTCCATGTTTCTATGCTCCGAAAGTACACTCCAGATCCTACACACGTGGTGGATTGGGGTGAGCTAGTGGTTGATGCGGATGGAACCTTTGAGGAGGGACCAGTGCGTATCATGGACAGCCGAGAACAGGTTTTGCGGGGCAAGACTGTGAGGCTAGTAAAGGTGCTGTGGCAGCACCGTGGGATGGAGGAGGAGACATGGGAACGTGAGGACACTATCCGAGCTACCTATCCATTTTTGTTCGAGAATGGAGGTACATCTCTTACAGTCATAGAGTATTTAATTATTTTTTGCATATGCATGTCGTTATATATGCATGTGGGTATAATTTCGGGGACGAAATTCCCTTAAGGGGGAGAGAATGTAAAACCCGATAAAAAAAAAAATTATTATTATTATTAAAATCCTAATAAAAAGGGTAAAATAATAATTAATTGTTAAATTATGGGTCAAAAACATAAATTTAAAAACAAAAAAAAATAATATATATATATATAAGTGGAAGACTTTGTCTTCCACTTTTTGTGTTTTCTACAGCCGGCGACACAGAGAGAGTGAAAAAAAAAATGAGTTTTTATTTTTTTTCTCTTTTCTTCCTTCTTAGATCTAGGAAAATTTAACCGTTTAATCGCTTCGGGCCAAGAACTAAAGTTGCTCTACTCAGCGAGAGCTATGCAACCACACCAAATATCGTATTTTTCTTCGAAGGTATATCAAAGCCGATAATCTAGACCTAAAACTTAGGAAGCTAAATTTGGGCTTCCTTGGCGTTCTAGTAAGTGGTCTCACGCTACGAGAGGTAGGGTTTCCCCTATTTAGATTTAATTTCAACTTAAAATATGACATATGGAATGAGTAGATTATGAGTGTATATCACATGTTAGGTCTTGACTAGTGGGTCAAATATAGAATTTATAATTAATCTTGTGATTAATAAAATTCTATTGTGATTAACTTGGTACAAGTTAATGTTAGTAGTTTAAAGCATGTTAATTGTATGTTAGCATTACTTTATATTTTAATGGAAGATTAAGTTTAATAAAATTATTAACTTGTTATATGATTGTGAAATAATATATATATGTTAAATGATTATTTAACATATGATTATTTTGGTGGACTTTGTGCTTATGTTAAACATGTTATCATGTTGCAAGTCATAGCATGCTAGTTGTGTAAATTGATGTGCTCTTTAGGTGTTTGATTAAATGCCTAGGTGAATACAAGTATGTTAGTTGAGTTGATTATCTTACATAACATGCTTGAGATCGTGTTAAAATGTCATTACATTGTATTTCATTATGCATGAGTTGCACTACATTCATGGGCATTGACATGGGTGAGAGTGTATGCATGGTATGAAATCAATCACCACGTAGGTGGTTGAACGTGGACTCGGAAAAGTCGCACCAAGGTTCGGTTGAGTCGCACGAGAAATTAAATGGATAAATGTGTTGGGGACAGCACGAAGGGCTAGATTCTCCCTCGGGTGCAAGACCCGCTTACTTGGTTTATACACTTTCCGGCGGTGAAATTCCAAAAAAGTGTAACGGCGGAAACGGAGCCGCAGGTGGGATGTCCTGAAGATCCGTTGATGGTTGGTGTCCCATTGGTGTAATACCATAAATCATCTCCCCACAAAGACACAAGAAAATGAATTAATTAGCATTGAGTGTACATAACACCAATGATGGGGGCTTGGAATGCTCGGATACATACGTATGACATTGCATGTGTTATGGGAGCTCAGGATGGGGCTCGGGGTTGGTATTGCTTGCGTGAGTCTCATCTCATGGCATGACATGATCTATAACATTCAATCATAATAGACATATTTAAATGAATGTATCAAATGATCGTTGCATGTGACATTCTATATTCATTTAGGTTGAGAGGTATTCTCTATAGGAGTTACCCTATTGAGCGTTAGCTCACCCTTTATGGGAACATTTTTCAGGTATCGCACAGGCTTCCACCGAAGGCGAGGCCATGAGCCCACTTTGACGACAGAGCCGGTCTGTGGCTTTTATTTTGACATTGTAGTCTCTTGTTTATACTTACTTTTGACCTTGTATAATTTTTGTAACAAACATTGTTTATATTTACAAAGGCATGTATATGAGACTCTTTTGGGACATTTATTCTTTTACGAATAAATGTATGTATTGATAATGATTATGGTAGTATTCGAGACTATACAATTGTGAATGGATAGATAGACCCGGTGTGGTCAATGTTGTACAGGTTGCGTTTTGAGTAGAGCTCCTTGTACAAAGGAGACTCTGTCTAAATTTTGTTAAGTTATGGATCCCAATAAATGGGGCATAACGGTGTGGTATCAAATTACACGATATCCACCAGTATTACACAGGTCGATGGATAACCAATCGGATAATTACAGACACCCGGACTTTGGGGTGTCACAATACGAACCTGGTTCTCTCGCTTTAGTGATGTAGTTGTACGTTTAGGGTTCACCCGATGTCATTCTGATCATACCTGTTTCATTCGACGGAATACTTCCGGACAGTTTGTCATCCTTTTGGTATATGTTGATGATATTATTATTATTGGAGATGATATTTCTGGGATTGCGCAGGTTAAGGTAGACCTTGGGAAGGCCTTCGATGTAAAGGATCTTGGATTTTTGCGATACTTTCTTGGGATTGAGGTTGTCCGTAGTAGCAAAGATATTGTTCTTTCTCAGAGAAAGTATGTTCTGGATCTTCTCTTAGACACTGGAATGCTGAGGTGCAAATCGGCATCATCACCCAATTGGCAATGGGTGGAGTGGCACCTCAAACCTATAAACCATCCTTGGTATACTTAATTTTTAGATGTGGGATTGCTCTCTTCACGGCAATGACTGACAGCCTTGATCCGAGCTGTATATAAAGCACCGAACAAGTCAAATGCATGAAAAGATGAATGTGTGATGGCTGCAGTTTTCCTCCAGAGTTTAGTGCATACATTGTGGAAATAATTTGAAATGCTGAAGCTGCCTCCAATTTTATTCATTGTTCAAAATTTGCTAGTATAATTAATTTTTCAATTCTTGTTTATGTTCTTATTGTCCGTCTTGGATCTTTATATCATATTCTTGAACAGGAATGCTATCATCAATACTATGATTGCTGCATTGAGATGGGTAATCTGAATTGATATTAATGGTTTTGTAGGCTCAAGTGCATAGACATGCTCACAACTTCAGGGAAGTGCAGCAGTGTACTCTTTTATCTATCAAGACGGGTGGATGCAGTGAGGATTGTTCATATTGTCCTCAGTCCTCCAGATATGACACTGGATTGAAAGCGCAAAGGCTTATGAACAAGGATGCTGTTATGGAGGCGGCAAAGCAGGTGCTATTTTTCATCATTTTTAAATTCTCATGGGTTTCTAATAGACCCAAATGATTTAGTATGACTAAATCATTTGCATTCATGGAATGCATTTCTGATTGCAGCACTAGGATACAATGGCAGACCTGTGCTTGGGCCAAGGGGGGCCATGGCCCCCTCAAGTTTTTGAAATTATCTTTTATACCTCTAAAATCTCAAAGATATACTTTAACCTTAAAATTCTGTTTTTAATTTTACTTTAGCGATCCCTCAAGCTGTCAAACTTATGATTTAAGTCCTTAAATTGTGACCTTGATTTCGTTTATCCTATGGATTCAAAGACATTTCACTAACAATCATTCAAATACCTCTTTGACGATTTTCGTCCAAAATATAAGATTTTATGCTAAATCAAAATTAGTTAGATTGTAAAAGTAATTTGGTTTAGGGAAGAGAAGAGTTGAGAAAGGAGAGTAGTGTGTTAGGTTACACAACTTTTATATGTAATCACAAAGTACAAAATTACCTTTAGTCTAAAAATAACACATAACATAACAAAATTCAACAACTTGAGCAAAACGTCACCGATTTGAATGGCTAATGATGCAACCTGTGTTCAAAGCAATAATCGATGGATAAAGTGAAATCAATGTCATAATTCGGAGGACAAAACATATTTACCCAAACCTTACATTTAGAGTGTCCAAAACAGTATGGAATATATATTTAGCAAATTTACTCACTCTCTATCTTATTTTGTTTAGATTTTCACTCTTCTAGAGGCAGAACAAAATTTTGTACTCCAGCAACTATGAAATGAAATTGAGCCCAAATTGTTGATTTTGTACGAATTGATTGGAACTAGTTTTTAATCTAATTAATTTGACAAGTTTGTATTAATTTCTCAATTTTGTTAAAAACAGATAACAATCGTGTATTGTATGAAAATTTATTCTCATAGGCTGTGCTAACATTGATGATAAGCCATTGATACAAACTTATGGTTACACTATTAGCCCCCTCGAGTTAAAATCACGGCTCTGTCCCTACTGCAATGAGGAGAGTTTGGGTTTTCTCAATCTTGCTGCATGAAATGGAAACTTCTTCCCAAATCTGGATTAACTTGTAACGGCTGGGTTGCTGTTTACTGAAACATGTGAGAAAGATGTTAAAACATCAAGAACTGTCACCCTGTCCGTTCCAAAACATTGGCTCCCTTTTTTGGAATTTGGATTTATAAGGAATGGGATTAAATTGTGGAGAAAAACCTTAAATTTCCAACATCACCCTCTCTTTACACTTGAAAATTCACTTTGTTTGAACTTACCATGAATCTGTAATGGCGGAATATTTGGGGAATGTTGCATGAAAAAGTACCATAACTTTTGAAACTAGACTCTATATCTGGGACGCACCAAACAAGAAACATGCCCTATGATATTGGGATGATGGAAATATTTTTTTTTTCTCTGTGGTATTATGCAAAATATGCATGAGTTTCTCTCTTGCTTTTCTCTGAAATTCTGATCTAGTATGATTTTGTGTTCTTTGTTAATATAGTTGTTTGGCTTATGGTCGAATATGGCAAGAAATTGAACTTTTGTTGAAGTGATGTTGGACAACTTTGTAAAATAAAAAATAACGACTATTTAGGGGCTGTTCAGGGACTGTGAACAGTACTCATGAACAGTAATGTGGCTGTGAATTGTAGCGTGAACAGTAATTTTGGTTAGGAATCACTCCTAGGGTTCGGTAGCCATCACACCCAGGATTATAATTGCATCACACAACTCAAGAAAAATATAATTGCTCAAAATTTTGAATATCTTCCTTTTCTTCTATTATTAAAAGTAACACTAACTATATACAGAGTTTTAAGTAATTCTAATTCCAAAAAATTAGGATTCCAAAGTCTTTAGAACTTCAAAGACACTAGGTCGCTACAAATTAGAAAACTAAAATTAACTAGAACTAGTATTTTAAATTCTAGAATATTCAATATTAGAATTTGACCCAAAAATATGACATATTCCAAAAATTTTGGAAATTATAAAAATACCCCTGACACTAAAAATATTAAAAGGACATATAAAATATTAATACTAGCAAATTGACTTAAAATAAGAATGCAAGGTTCCATATGGATCTTTGTCTTGATGAAAAATCAATTACATTATCTTTCACATCTTCGAATTTGTGTTTTTTTGAGCATCTTATGAATTGCATCATTCTCTCCTGGTTTAAGAAAACTCGACCTCGAGTTTTAAAGTGTTGTAGTATGAAAGTCCAAAAACTTTGAACTTGTATATGTAGTTGTCTCTGAGAAGCGTTAAAATTATGTCTCATTTTCTTCTCTAATTGAGGGAACAAAGAAAAAATTTGAACATCTCCCTCTTCTTCTATTATTAAAAGTAACACTAACTATATATAGAGTTCTAAGTAATCCTAATCCCAAAAGATTAGGATTTCAAAGTCTTTAGAACTTCAAAGACACTATATTCCTACAAATTAGAAAACTAAAATTAACTAGAACTATAAGCTTCAACACATGCTTTGGGTAGGACCAAACAACCAATTTGACCAGCATCACTAGCGCTTAAAACCTTCTCAAACAATGACACAATAATGGAATTTAAATCTCTGGATAACTTCTGCAACTCTTCGTCAGTAATCCTTGGCCAGTATTGTGGGAGTAATTGATGGCGGCCCCGTCCTTCGGCAGGAAGCCTTGCAATGAGTGGCTGAGAAATTATCCCTTTATTTGCCTCTGAACCAATTTTAAGGCCAGCCTTGAGGGCTTCGGCAAAATGTCTCGTCTTCTGCCCTTGTTGCAAGAGAGGAACTTTGTTATGTTCTTTCGTTTGGCAACCTCACCAGGAAAAGACGATATAGGATTTGGAGAGCATAAAGAAGTGCTTACAGAGAACCTCAAGGATGGTTGAGCTACTGACTCATACATATCTTCAAGGCCTAGCGTTGGCCCATTGCTACCTAAATTGGAAAATCTAGATTGTCCAACTGATTGCTGGATGAGACTCGAAAACCCTATGCCACTTTCCCCACTAGGATGTGTCTTGTCTTCTGGTTAGACCAGCCCATTAGATATATTCGTGTCACCCTTCTAACATTGAGGGAAGGGGCTATGCTGATTTTCCTCTATGGCATTGCTTAACTGCATGAGCTTCCCTATTTTAAAGCCATTGCAATCTATTGTTGCATCAACATTGCAGGATTGCAGAATTGGCTAGTACCCTCAATCTACCATATCCATGAAGAATATCATCGCTTGGGATCTTAGCCTCTGGACAAGTAAGTAGTGTAGTTGCTTGGGATTGTGTTGATTCTTCTACTTAATTTCCTTCATCTTGAATTATTCGATCAGTTGTTGCTTTGGCTGCCTTTGATGAATCTTCTCTAGTTTCACAATAAAATCTAAATAACTTTAAGTTTTACCCCTTTGCGAAGAAGAAACCCTTGATATACCTACTTGGTGAAGGAAATTTAGGTATATCTCTGTACCAAGTGCCACTTGGAATGCATGCTCTACGTTGTATAGTGGCTGCCCAAGTATTTCTGTCTTTATATTTGCTCTTAAACCAGCCTTGAATTGAACAATTATTTGGCAAGGTTTTTCTACGATATAGTTTTTCAACATTAGTTCTTCAAATCTTTGAATATACTCTGTAACAGATAGGTTACCTTGTTGCAGATTAATAAGTTGTTTGCATAACTTGCTACTATAGTTTGAGGGCATATACTTCTGTTGAAGCTTAGCTTTCATCTTTTGCCATGTGTTTATAGGAGATTGTTCCAATCTTTTTATATCTCCTTTAACACCAAACTACTAAATTTTTGCCAAGCCTACAAGTTTCATCTTGGCAAGCCTTACTCTTCTCTCATCTGAGAAATTATACCTAATAAAATAGTTCTCTATAGAAACAAGCTAACTAGAGAATATTGTAGAATCATCCCTTCCATCAAAATTTTGGATCTCCATCATCATATATCAATATTTAAATCGTATAACATAAGAGTTTTCAGCTTTGAAACCAAACTGATGTAGGACAACTTTGTAAAATAAAAAATAGGAACTATTTAGGGTTGTTCAAGGACTGTGAATAGTATTCATGAACAGTAATGGGGTTGTGAATAGTAGCATGAACAGTTTTTTTGGTTAGGAATCACTCCTAGGGTTCTGTAGACATTACACCCAGGATTAGAATTGCATCACACAACTCAAGAAATATGTAATTGCTCAAAATTCTGAATATCTCCCTCTTCTTCTATTATTAAAAGTAAAACTAACTATATATAGAGTTCTAAGTAATCCTAATCCCAAAAGATTAGGATTCCAAAGTCTCTAGAACTTCAAAGACACTAGGTTCCTACAAATTAGAAAATTAAAATTAACTAGAACTAGGATGTTAAATTTTAGAATATTCAATACTAGAATTTGACCCAAAAATATGACTTATTCTAAAAATTTTAGAAATTACAAAAATACCTTTGACACTAAAAATATTAAAAGGACATATAAAATATTAATACTAGCAAATTGACTTAAAATAAGAATGCAAGGTTCCATATGAATTTTTGTCTTGATGGAAAGTCAATTATATTATCTTTCACATCTTTAAATTTGTATTTTCTTGAGCATCTTATGGATTGCATCATGAAGTCTTCTATTTCATGTCAAAAATTGGTCAACCCTTAGGAACATAGAGTTCCAATTGGCTCACTGGAACACTTATTTTGGCTGCTGATAGCACTGCTTACGAAACTCATTGTACAATGCTTAACCTTCAATATTTAGGGATGCCAGCATGGAAGCAGGGAAATTCAAACCAATTCCCTAAAGCTGGCAAAACCAACTGTTCTTCTTCTTTCTTGGTTTAAGCTTTCCATTCTGGCCTGGAAATGAATGGGCGTTACCCAATCAATTTGGTCAATGGGTATTCTTGATACTATGTGAGTAAGAAGCTTGGACAATCTTGAGAAGGCGACAGATCCATGCTAGACACCAACACTTCTCAGACCCCTCTTAGGCATAAGTCTGATGCTCTTATCAAAATAAAATTTTAATTTTGGACAAGTGTTCAAGACTCCTTTAGTAACTTGTACGACAGTCCTTTATGTCTGGTCTGCTACTAAGATATAAACAGGTTTTTTGTAATTAACAAAGCCTAAAAAATTAGACAGATGATTATCTCATCCTATGAAATATTATACAATTATGAAGACTAGCCCTGTTAAAGTTGTACATAAAATTTACTAATAAAAGCAAAGATGTATAGAAGTTTTGTTGAAAAAGAGAAATTGAGAAGATAAGAGCAATTATTATGATTATGTATGTTTATACACATTGTGTACAAAAACATCAATGATTATTGAATACTATGATCATTAGGTCTAAAAATTTACACTAATTGACTAGACATAAGATTTATGTGCCAAAAAGCTCTGAATTTGTTATGAAAGTACCATAATTATGGGACCATATTCATTTTCTAGTGTCATTTTGGACTAAGGTTTCTGACTAATTTAAAGGAATCTTATTTTTTGCTATTTTAGTAGGATGGAGAGTTGCATGTGATTTCTGGGCCTTCTAAATGATCTAGCTCTTTTTTTGCTTTATTATTTCTACTTTTTGGTTGGATTTTATCCAACTATTTTTGATGTACTTTTTAATTTTTATTAATATAGAGTTCCATTTCCTATCAAA